GAAAGTGCCTTAAAAAGCACCCCCCCCTCAGTTATACACCAACTCAGGGCTTGGTCTCCCCAGCAGGGACCCCTGCATCCTCATTAGATTGGATGCAACTATAGAAGCTGGACCCAGGGTGCAGGCTGGACCTTGACTACCACAACTTTCATGCTCTCTCTGAAAGGGTACCCTTCCTTGTGGAGATCTGTGTGGAACACCTTAAGAATTCCATCTGGGGCTTCTGATCATACTGCAGGCAGTCAAAGTTGGCCAAGAGGAAAGAGAAAGAAGCCTTGGAATTTTCTGAGTCCCAGCCCTATAAGCCTCTTTCATTTCTACTCTGTAGACAACAAGAATAAGGTACTTTTGTTCTTGAATACATTCTGAATAGTGTCCTTTTTCTCCCTATTTCCTGGAGGAAAGTCATTGTTCAGGTTTGATTCCTTTGGTTTTTCTGAACCTAGATCTTGCTATCAGAGCCTGTAGTGTTCTCCTCAGAGGTTTTCTTGATGTCTGACTGGCACCTAAATCTCCTTTCTCATTGTACCACAATCTCTTTGACTTTTCCCTCCCACACAGCCCTCTGCTGCTCTCTCTGCTTGTTGGAATTCCTGGCTTTATTAGCCAGGTCAAATTATGCTGCAATAACAAACCACCCTGATATTCTTGTGGTTTACAACAAAAGCTGTTTTCTGATTGATTTCAATTTCCCATTCATGTAAATAGCAGGTCAGATTCAGGTCTGTTCCAAATCATCTTTATATCTGGGATTTAGACTGAAGAAGCAAGCTCTACCTAGGACACATTGGCCATCTCATAGCAGAGAGAAGAGCAATGGCGGAAGCATGCAATGGCTTTTAAAGCTTCTGTTAGAAATGTCAAATGTCTCTTCGATCACATTTCATTAGTCAAAGGGGGTCAGAAAGCCAAACCTAATAAATATTACTGGTGTATGGGAAGTGTAATCTTCTCTTAGTATAATCTCTCCTACAATATAGTCCTTCCCATTGGGAGGGGCTAGTAAGGAGGCACTGGCCTTGTATTTGTTTTGGCAAACTGATACTAATTGAATTCTAACTTCAGGCATCCAGGAAATCCAAGGTAGTAGCGTTCTGCTCCTTTTGCAGCCTCCCTGTTTTCAATGACCATTGTACTTAATTTTCTTTGTGTCATTCAAGCCCTAATCAGCTTCTTTGGATTCGGCAAATGATCTTACACCATCTTTGGCTTCGAGATTGAGAAAAGGAAGAAAGAAGTGAAACAAGGAAAAAGAGGAAAAGAAGCTACTTGATTCCAGAACTTTAAGCTAATATATTTCTAAACAAACATATAGATTAGAACAAACCTATGCTCCCAAGGAAAAGCTTGTCTGCCCTCCTTGGCCCTGGCGGATGACGGTGCCAGTTGTCCGTGGCCACTTCCCACCCCGGTTGTGTTTGTTGTGATCGCACATAGATGTGGGGTTACTCCATCAACATTCTTGACTCCTTTGTGTTCAGAAAGTACAAAGGCTGTGAGCCTGTTGAAGAGCGAGTAAGAAGACACATATGGCTATGATGGAAATGAAAGTGTGGAGAATAAATGTTTTAGATGAGGAGAAAATGATGAGAGTTGCGTGTGTGTAAGGGAGGAATTGTTCCACAGAAGGCACAGCTCTGAAGGACAAAAAGAATCAGGCAGCAATTGAAGAGCTGGGCTTTGCAATCAAGAGTAATCAGCAAGAGATGAGGCGAAGTGATTAACAAAATGGAAAACCTGGCACATGAGTCAGACGATCAGAATCAACACAGATGTCCTTTAGCCTGTGTTAATTCAGGGGAAGGCCAGGAATTCGCTTGAGAACTTAAAGGCTAAATATGTTTGTTGTCGACCAAGGCCAGGCCTGCCTGCAAAATAAGTGGAAAACTCCTACACCCTGCCGCCCAGGTGTAGATAAGGAGAGATGGCCCCAGGCTTGGCACAGCAAACATTTCAAGGTCTAGTATCTGGACATTAGCCTGAATGGAGTACTCACTATGAAACTGAATTTTTGCCTTATATGGTAGCATAAATTGTTTCTGGTTGCTAATGTGGTTGGAGGTATGAAAGATAGTGAGCCCACACTTCTGGGCTCCCCTGAGCTTCCAGACATCTCCCTCTCTTCAGGCTGCCAAGACCACCAAATTTATGGTGTCTCTATGAAAAACCAAGGAGGCAGTGGCAAGCTGCATCTGCCTTACTTCATGTCTATCCTTTGCTCTAAAATACACTGCTTTGGAAATGAATCAAAGTACAGCTTCTTTGAGCTGGACTCACAATGTCATTCTTGCCCAGCCTCTCACCTAGGCCAGACTCTATGTTCCGACTGCACGGGGTGAAAATGCCACCCAGGAAGTACTTGTTAAAAGCCACGTGTGGTCCATTAGTTCAAGGCCTGGCCCCATCTGCACTGTCAAATAAGTAGTAAGTGCAGATATTTTATTTCCTGAAGTCAAGGGATTACCGCCTCAAGAGTTTTTCAATGGTCTATTTTGGTGGAGAAAATGCTCCAAATTACCTATGTGGCGGTAGACAGAAAGGACAAATGCATCTGATTTAAGTTTTGAGAGCCATATAACTCCTCTTAGGAAGAAGTGTGTTCATTTATTATAAGCTTAAACTCATAATCACATTTGACAGTGACAATGGAACCTGGATCCCACTTGCTTGGCCTCTTCCTTTCCCTCTGAAAATCTCCCCACAACTACCTTTACCAACCCCAAGGGCTCCTTACAACACAGTAGGAACAGCATTGCCCTATCTTATGCAATCTTAGCAAATTATAGCCTGAAGTGGGACACTTTTGAGCATGAAAAGGAGCAGGATTGGTAACTCTGCCATGCAGTGGACATAACCTGGGACTGTCCCGGGAAAGCTAGGATTATATAGACATCGTAATCCCAGTATTTGCCTGCCTGAGGCTTCTTCCAAATGTATACTGCTCTGGCCCCTGCCCCTGCCCCTGCCCCTGCCCCTGCCCCTGCCGGAGAGGCAGCCCTGAGCCCCTAGACTGGAGAGTAGCTGAGCATGTGATCCAAGGCTGGTGAGTAACCCTGGGCTAGCAACTCTGGGAGTCCTTGATTAGACTTGGCTGGACATGATTAGCCTGATCAAGCAGATTCTCTCTTTCATGAACTGGAAATAGTGACCAAAAGAAGCCAGGGTGGGTAGTGATTCCATTTTTTCTCCACATTGTTAACATGTGGGACACACACTACCACCGACAGCAACATCTGTCATTACGCTGCAACAATTTTCAACTGTTAGGGAGTGGGGAGGGGAAGCTGCAATAGAAAAATCTCCAGCAATGTCTGCTAAAACCACGAATGTACACACCCTTGACCAAGTGATTTCAAGTATGGAAATTTATCCAACAGCCATACTTCTACACTTGCAAAATGATACATAGAACAATAAGAATCGCTTCCAGGGAGAGGAATTGGAGGGCTGGGGGGTGGGTGAATTGGAGAATTTTCACCATATACTTTTATATTTGTTAAATTTTGAACCACATGATTTTTTTTTTACCTATTTTGAAAACTAGTAAATAAAATCAAAGATCTAGGATATGTCACAGCTTTATGTAGGAAATACTTTTTTTTTTAATTGCCTTAGAAATATTGATTTTAACTTTGCCAACAGGGCTGCCTAAGATCCCTCTGGGCATGATGGACCCAGGAACATTGAGATTTGGGGACTGGCGGTTTTGGGATTAGGTGGTAAAGTCCCGACCCATTCAGCAAACGTGTGCTAGGCACTATGAAGATTACCAACAAATAAAAGTAATTTAAAGTTTCACAAAAATGTGAATATAATGAACAGTATTAAACTGAACACTTAAAAATGATTAAGATGGTAAATGTTTTGTTATGTTTTACCATAATTTAAAAAACAAGGAAATAATAAAAAGAATGAAAGAAAAATTTAAAATATATATATATATTTACAGTTTACTTAGAGCCTGTATATAATTCAGTATTTTACCCTAGATGATGCTGGACAAATGTTTGATAAATGGTATAGAACTGGCAGAAAAGAGAATAAAAATACTAAGCTAAAACCCAAATGGAGTGAAATTATTGTTACGATAAAGGGGTGAGCCAAGTGCTGAACAGGAGCGGTGGAAGGGCCTCTTAATTCTGATGGAGAGGACCAGAGATATGTGCATTGTGGTGGAGAAGAACAAAATGAAGGCTTTCGGATCTTAAAGCTCTGGATCCATCCCTGGCTTGACTCTTTTACTGGCTCAGTGACTTAACTGTTCGTTGCCTCCCTGTCTAAACAGTTGATATTACCCACCATTCAGAACCAGTGTCCATTTAAATGAGGCGACTCAAATAGAGCACCTAGCAAGGTGCTGGACACATAGTGTGTGCTTTACAGATGTTGGTTCCCTGGTGAGATTCAGTGAGAGCCTTGAAGAATGATGAGCAATTTGAGGGTCTGGAAAAAGTCTAAGAAAAAGGCATTTCAACTCAAAAAGCAATTACAACTGGGTGAGTCAAGCAGAAGCCCTGGGATTTTTCATGAAACCCTGATCAGGGAACTTATGTGACACTTGAATGTGGCTAAATGACAGTGGAAAGACCTGTGTGTATATTCTTTTCATTTTTATTTATTTTTATTATTGTTCAAGTACAGTTATCTCCATTTTCTCCCCACCACTCCACTCTCCCCACCCATTCCCACCCCGCCCTTTGACCCTATTCTCCTTTGGCTTCGTCCATGGGTCCTTTACACATGCTCCCTGAGGGCCCCTCCCCTTCTTTTCCACGGGTGTGTATTCTGTATTTCTTCTTTTTTGTTGTTCCTGCTTATTTTCTTCTTTTGATTTCTTATATTTCCCTTTAACCCTCTCCTCCTTCACTCCTCTCTCCATCCCCCCCTTCTTTTTCTTTTTAAATGTCAAAAGATAGATTCTATTCTAAAAACCATCATTACTTTTCCAGGTAATCTTAAGAATATTACATAATTTTCATAAAATAGCATGGTTTCATAGGAGTTAAGACCTGGAAGGAGCATGATTTCAAATTTAAAATAGGGAGGAGGGAGTTGTTTACTCCACTGAGACAAAAGAATAATGACATCCACTGTGTGTGTACCTGTTAGGTGCTTCGCAGGTAGTAGTATGATTTCTCATAACTGCAAGGTACATATTAATCCCATTTTATAGATCAGAAAATCAAATCCAGAGAGGCTAAGTGCCTAGACTTAGAGGCACCTGGATCTGAGCTCAAGTCTCAGTTCAAAGACCAGTGTCTTTCCTGTGTACTCTTCCATTGCCAACGTCATTAGATTTCTCTGGTCTCCCATCTCTAGCCACTTAGCCATGCATGCAGCCTTTAGTTCTGGAATCCCTAGTCATGTTTAATAAAAAGGAGTGATTGGGACCAATCATCTATATAAACATGAAAGATGACAACAGCATTACTCTACCGGTTCCGAGAGTGGAATTTTATTTAATACGTGCCAAAGTTAGTAACAGCTTATTAAAATACATGCAAGACACAGGAATGCCTTTGATTCCACCAGATTCTCATAATGACAAATACTGAACCAGTGAATTCTCCCCCACCAAATTGTTTTGTTTTTAAGGTTCAAGGTCATGTAGCTGACCTGTTTCTGTTATTCCTTTTGCTTAAACCTACTTCTGCAGTGAACAGAATTATCACCATGCAGAAAAACATGGAGAGTCCATCCTCCACACTCAGGAGAAAAATGTATTGTTTGGAGGATTTAACAACTATTGCACATATTTTATTCACTCGTTCTCTTAATGACTTACAGCAATGGTCGAGAAGCCTGTCTGCTAAAGTAGGCTGGAGGCCTACTTTAAAAGCTGGTATGTGTTCTTCCGTATTTCAAGTATGATTTGTAAAGCTTGACAGTTTTTTAATGGAACTGTGTACATGTGTGAATACAACTATAACTGGAACAACTTCTTGGGGAGTTTCTTTGTTTATAAGAGAAATGGTTCCAATATGACAGTGTACAACTGCTTGATTACTCTGTTTTTAACTTTTATGAAATGCTCCTGTTTGGCCTACGCTGTTCTGATATAATACTACCAATGGTGCCTACATACACCCTCTCCCCTCCCCCCAATATCTTAGCTCATTTCTAAAATAATTTTTCCCCTGGGGGAAGATAAGACTAAAATGTTAAAAGAGGAGGGAAATTATAGGGTCTTGCTAGGATTATAGAATATTTGTCATGGAAATGGCTTTAGAGAATCTATATCTAAACCTTTCATTTTATAGATAAGAAAAATGAGACCCTGGAAGGCAAAGTTACTTATCCAAGGTCACACAGCTGGATAGTCACGGAAGCAGGGTTGGAATCCATTTCTTCGGACTTTGAGGTTAAGATATGGCAAATTGATCAGAGGGAGCAAGCCTTAAAACAATTTGAGGAAGATATGCCACATTGAAACAATGTTCCCTTGCTCCTGGCTTCCATCTGCTCCCTCCTCAGTTTTCTTATCAAGTACTTTTGGTTGAAACTTAAGAGCCGGACCATTCTGTGCCTTTTACCTGCCTTCAGCCTTTCTTTTATCCCTTCTCCACCTCTACTCCAGTTCTCACGTGCACTGCTGCTGCTTCCTAATGGAAAGTAATTTTACAAACCTGCTCCAAGTTCAAGGGAGGTCATTGAGTGAGGCAGTGCCCCGTGGAAAAGGCTAACGGTGAAAATGCAGACAACAATGAAAGAGAGGAGTTTGCTTTTTAATTGTATTAAATAAGCAATGCTAGCTGGGGGCATGATTTTTAGCCTCTAAATAACCATCTAGGCCACTGTCAACCATTCAATCACCTTTGTGTCAAGTCAAACTGAAAAACCAGAATAAAAATGAGAACTATTATTTAAAGAATTGCCCTTTACACCTGTAAAACAACTAATATTGTCAATAGTTTTTTTTAATTTTTAAAAAATTTTAAATTTTAATTGTTGTTTGAGGACAGTTTTCTGCTTTTTACCCCATCCCAGCCCACCCTGTTAATGGTTCTTTACAGTTTACAAAGCACTTGCACATCCATTTCTTCTTTGGACTCAAAGCACAGGGTGAGCTCGGTAAGGTGATCTGTTCTGTTATTTAGAGGAAAAACGGAGGTCAGAGATAGAGGTTCACTAAGGGTGGGTATCAGCCCAGGTCTTCTAAATCTATAAATCCCATATTCTTTTCATTTTACCACTTCGTCTTCCAAAAAGCCCAACAGCAAACCTTTACAATTTCAGAATTTGGGGAAATTGGGCCAAACCCGTTCAGAAGGTGATGGTTAATGTCACGTGCCATCTGCAACAGGTCCAGGCTGCTGTGCAAGCTGCTCTGCTGCTTGGGCGAATGATCTCAGAAGGTGATGTTCATGGTTATTTCAAGACGCTATTTCCTGGATGCTGCGGCAGGTGGGGTCAGACTGTGAGGCACAGCATCCTGTGGCTGTTTTTGTATGGTACAAATGATAGTACAGACGTGCTAATTCACTCTTTTATTTTTTATGAAATGCTTCTCTTCTGCATACACACACACTGAAAGTTTACTGCTGTGGGAAAGTGGGCTTCCTAATTTAAAACTCCAGTATGAAGACTTGTCTCCCTCTCACAGGGCCTTAAGAGTCTCCTTCTACTCTGCTCATCTCTGGGCCTGGAAGAGCAAGGCACACACATTCTTGTCAGGCAGCTCAGTCTTGAAGAAAGAGAAGGGAAGGGGTTGGGCCACTCAGGTACTGTTTCTCTTTCAAACTCAGATGTCTCTTTATCCCCTCTTGGGCAAAGTGAATAAGACTGCCGGAGGAGCCAAATCATTACATTAATGGAATTCCCTTCACAAGAAGGGAAATGTCAGGTGTGGAAAGGCATGCCACACATATAAAGAAATCCAAGGTCATGAAGACTACATGACTTAACATAGGTGAAACACTTAGGGCCTGGTTTAGACGTGGTAGTTGATTAATGGAAGGTCTTTTCATTGGAAATCCATAGACTCATTTCTGGTCTCAGCTCCGCCATTCACTGTGTGATTCGGGGCAAGAGATCACATCAGCGACTGCTGAATTCTCAGAACCAAGACAGGCACCTTGTATAGCACCTGTAATTATAATAGCAACAACAACAGTGAGTTTTTTCTTTTTAATCCTCACCCAAGGACATTTGTTCAATACTTTTCAAGATAGAGGAAGGTGAGGAGAGAGGGAGAGAAACATCCATCAGTTGCCTCCTGCTCTCCAGCTGGAGACCCAGCCTGCAATCTAGGCATGTGTCCTGACCAGGAATCACACCCATGACCTTTCGGATCACAGGATGATGCTCTTACTGACTGAGCCACACTGGCCAGGGCAACAGTGATTTCTAATAAATTACTTATCCTCTGAACTTGTTTCCTCATCCACAAAATGAGGAATTTGATGTTGATGACATTTAACTTTCTTCTTCATTCTAATGATCTCTTCTATAATAGTGCGGGAGGAGTGTCCAAACTGTGGCCTGCAAGCCACGTGCAGCCCAGGATGGCTGTGAATGGGCCCAACACAAAATCATAAATTTACTTAAAACACTATGAGATATTTTTTTGTGATTACATGTCGCAATGCATTTTATGTGTGGCCCAAGACAACTCTTCTTCCAGTGTGGCCCAGAGACGCCAAAAGGTTGGACACCCTTGTTAGGGAGACTCAGCAAGTCTGACACACCCCTGTGTTTTTTATTTCAAATAAAGGCAAATGGATGTCCTGTAGGCATCAGCATTTAGTCTTTGTACAATGAAATACAATATTCAGAAAGGGCCATTCATTTAGAATAGTAACATAGCTATAATTCTCTAATAATGTTAGGGTTAATTAATTCTTTTCTACTCCTCAAATATCCTGGTCAATTTTAGTAATAATACCAGCATTTTCTTCCATTCTTTAGAGTTTTTAAAAAATTTTCATTTGGAGGTGATTGCAAGCTTATCCCCATTAGTCCACTGTCCATACCTATGCTACTACAAGGTCTTCTCACTTTAAAAGTTTAGAATTTTATAGAACAAAGCCAATGCCAATCAATCAGATTATTGTTTTATAGTATAATCTGTTCCTTCCCCATTAAGCCAAAAACAAAACCACTCTTCAATTGTTACCATCTTAGAATTAGAAATTAGGCTCAGGTACTAATGTTACCAGGAGATCAAGCTAATAAATAGCTGAGCTAGGTTCTGCACACTTTCAAAGTGCCTTTGTATCTTATTATCTTATCCTGGTACTTATAACCAGGTGTATCATCATCTACCATGATGCAGAAAGTTTTTGTGTTCCAGAAGAGGGCATGCATAAAATACAGAATTCAGAACTTTTTCATTAGAAAATATAAAATTTCTTATTTACATTTGAATAGACTTGCTTAACAAAGGCAGATATTCAAAATCTAAAGTGAACAGCCTCAAAAGGCACAGTGAAAAATACCACATTAGCCGAATGATTCCAGCAACTCTAAAAACAAAGGTCCTTCAAGACTCAGGTCTCCTTTATGACCTGCTGTTTCAGTCTGGAGTCTAAAAGACTGTCTGTCTACTTTGTGTCTGACTTATTTTCCTGTCAGACAGGAACTGGAATTTGAACTTTGCTCTCCAAAAGCCAAAGGCCAACTAATTTAGAAGGAGACTCTCAAAATCAGTGATGGTTTCTTCTAGTTTCATTAGTTCTGTCTAAGGTGATTAAAGAATTTGATTCTCAGATAACCACAATCTTTATTGCTATTTTTACAAATCACATTAATTTCTATACTTAGTTCTGATCACTTGTGGCATTCCTGGGGCAAGTCTGGATTCATACAGCATTCCAATGCTGAATGCCTTTTCAAGTTTCCAACAGAATACTGTGCTGGTGAGTGATGATACCTTTATTGTAGTAGCCCCAAGGTGTGGAAGTTGTTTCCTGTGGCCTAGACTCAGCCCGACCCTTCCACTTGTTGAAACATCTGCAAATACTTTTTTCATTTCAGAGGCATCTCACCACAGCCAGCCAGCCTCCCATCTGGATTGCTTCCTTTTTTCCTGATTGCTCACGCAAAGCATCAATAATCTAGGAAGGCCTTTAGCAAGAGAGAAACTGGGAGGGCCTGTGGAATAGAGTGGAGCATTTGGAGGTTAGTGCTTATGGGTTTTCCCATACTCATTCATTAGTTCATTTATTCAACAATCATCATGTACTGGGTAGTAATAGCAATGCAAATGACAGCAAGCAGTACTCTCTGTCCTCAAACAGGAAAACACCTATTGTACGCTGCATTTATTGTCTTAAGGTAGGGAGTTATATTAATTAGTTTATAGTAATAAACTACACTCACCAAGTGTCTTCTATGTCTAAAGTTCCACAATTGCTTTAATTCTTATCTTTGGTAGGTATAGGGTCTATGGAATATTTTACTTAATCTCTTTGCTTCCCCACCTTGGAACTACATAAAATTCACAGTTAAGAAATACCATAGTAATCTTTACTTGATAAGTGAAATGATAAATTGTATAGTGTTGAGTAATCATATTCCTTCACATGTTTCATTTACTTTAAGGCTATATATTAGGCTACAAAACTAACTACTTAACTGTTGTTAGAGAGTATATTTTAAAAGGTGTTAATGCAGCTGGATAATTTTTATGTTCTTATATGATATTAATTCCAACTTTTAAAATTATATTTATATATTTATGCATTTGCACATTTTAATGTTAAAGTTAAGCTCTCATTTTATTAAAATCAAATCATACAACGATCTAATTAACTTCACTTTGGGAGTTGTTGAGCAATAATTATACCTTCAAAGCACCAGGAGATTTAAAGTGTATAGAGGGAGTGGCCCATCCACCCAGGATTTCAAAACCACATGGTTCTTCAGGTCCTGTTGGGGCTCATCTAGTTGCACATCTTCCCCTGCAGGAGTTTGGACTAACCAGGTCACTACATCCTGACATCCTGATCTCTATCACTCACTGCAACATGACAGAATGTCAACAGACCACAGGGAAGTTAGCAACAGGAAGAGGAAAATGCTTTAATACCCAAGGTCATCCCCAGAGTTCAGCAGGAATAGATCCTATATCAAATCATCTGATACCAAATCCTACAAATGAGCTCAAACATACTGTCAGACTTACCATGTTCTCTAGTTGCGATTCAATACTGAGGCAACCTGTCGTGAGTTGATAGTTGTTCCAAGTTTGCTATGATCGAAAAGGCAGGTTGCTGCTCTGTCACCGCTTCCTTTTTGCTGCAGAACAGATCACATGGTATTATGCCTTGGCTAGTCTTCATTTATCTACATATTAATTGGACATCTTGGAAGCTGATAGGGGTTGGTTCACTTCTTCAGCTTTGGCTTCTCTCCATCCCCAGTGTTCCCTGTCTTATTACTCGTAACAAAACAAAGCTATTAAATACAACAGGAAAATATACCTCAAGGGGCAGTGGGAGCTAGTTGCCTGAGAACTCTGAAGAACAAAGAGAGCCACCGAAGCCCTATGGTGTTTTGTTCAAATTAGACAAAGACACCCCTTCCTCAGCTACATTTAAAACATGTGGCTTAGTAGGTGCAATTAGGGACTAGAGTTCAATGCCTACCCAACTCCTCTGCCAGGACAGTTAACTAACTGCACAGGTATATGGAGCCTTGGCAAAAAAGAGCATGCATAGCATTAAAGTGATGGCAGAGGGCATGAAGAAAGATGAGGGCAACTTTGATAGAGAGAATGATGGAAAACAGACAATATTGTATGGTTTTCTTACGACTTTCTAAATAGAAGAGACTGATTAAGAATGGTATTTCTGCCTTCTGATTCAAGTTAAAACCATTTATCATGGAATCCATGACTTTTTCTTTCCTCCCTTTTCCATCTCTGTGAAAGACCAGGAACCAAAGATTTATGTAATGTATATTCCCAAAGTGATATTTATAGAGGTAAAAAATATTTAAACATTAAGTCAGTTTTGTCTGTTTACTACTCTATCCTAAACACAGAATGATGCCCTACACACAGTAGGTCCCTTAAAACGTTGATTGAGTAAATCTCTAATCCTAGACTTTCAAACACTGAGCAACAGCAAATTACACTAAGAAGGTCTCTCACCTCCAAGATTCCACAAATGAAACTAGGAATTCATCAAAAATTATTTTTTTCCTTGGCGCTTCATAGACCAGAGGTCTCAGCTCTCTTATAAAATACCATCACCACAAACACTACTCAAACGCTAATTTTTACAAACTTCCATTGCACATCATGAAATACTTGTCCACCAACAATGGAAGGTCTATAAGCCAAGGATTTTATGGAAGGATGCACCCTCCCACACTGTATTTCAGTAGTTAATAGATGACAAATGAAAACATCTGGAGGTACATTTTTTTATATATTATTTTGCACTTTTGTGATTTTTATATATGGTTGTCCTAACAGCAGTGTATTATTTATAATAGGTGAATATATCATTTTTCTCCAAAGGTCTCAAAGCACCTCTGGTGAGTAAGGAACAGCCCCTCCTATACCTCTGGTGAAGTAGATATACTGTAAGCATTATTTCCATTATACCAGGATCACACATGAGTCAGTGGTAGGACTGGCATTACTCACTCATGGCACTTCAGTTCACAGCCCTAATCCATCAGAGAACACTGCCTATACCTTAATTCATTCCAAGTATTCATTTGATCCCTGGCTAGTATGGTTCCATTGGTTGGAGCAGCATCCTATACTCCAAAAGGCTGCAGGTTCGGTTCTTGGTCATGGAACTCACCTAAGTTGTGGGTTCCATCCCCAGTTGGGGGGTGTGCAGAGGCAATGGATTGATATATCTCTCTCACATCGATGTTTCTCTCTCTTAAAAAAGCCATAAAAATGCCCTCTGGTGAGTAAAAAAATTTCATTTGATGCAGTTTGCAAGGCACTTGGGCTCAGTCTCTAGTTCCTTACAAAACTCACATCATATGAAAATTGCAACCTGTAAAAATTCTCTTAAAATATTCAAAATTCAGATCAGAAAATTTTCTGCGTAATAATTAATCCTAATTGTTTCATAATCACATACCTACCAGTGGGTCACATGTACATTAAACAAATGACTGAAATACAAAAATTTAAAGGCTCATTCCTCTTATGTGTTAGGATATTAACCATTTGTCTATAACATAGTTTTTTTTTTCAATGTTTGTGTCTATACCATAGGTTTGTTTTTTTCGGCATTTGCCTAGACAGCTAAATACTTGTGTTTTCTGTGTTTAATTAGAAGTTCCTGCCGTGTATTTTAGCTGAGTTTGTACAAGACGTTCAAGACCATGAAGAGATGAACGTAATGGCTTCCTCGTGTAATGGTCTTAATTTTTTTTCAGTTCATTTGTCCTTATCAGTAACCTTACTGTTTGTACCCAGACTCTCAGTGAATTCACAATTATTCCTCTTTACAAACTATGCCTCCAGACTTGACTGTATAAATTCAATTTCATGCATGCATATACAAGCCGTGTGCACTGCCTGTTAAATGATGTACTATGAACAAGCTAAAGGCACATTTTAATGACCTTTGATTCCATGTTGCCGTGGTTTTTAGACAGTTACCTACTGCTGGGGACAGTGTAAGACGGATTCACAGAGATAATTTGCAGTGTGCGCCCCGCAAACCAGTTTGGTCATAGAAGCCGGATGCCTAACTGAGCTAGTTACATTTTCTACTTTTCTCCTCCGGCTCCCCAGCCCTCGCAGCCCCCCTTGGATACTTCTGAGGCTCCCCGCGGTGACTGCCTGCATGGGGCTGATTAGCTAGAGCGGGAGCACTGAGCGGCTTGGGCCGCAGCTACGGGCAGAGCCGGCGCCCAGGCCAGGCTGCGGCTGCGTGACAGGCGGCACTTCCCAACCCGACGCTGTGGTAATTCAAACTGATCTCATCGCCAGTCGTCACGACACGGCTTCCTCCGCCGCACGCGGCGTAGCGTGAGAGGCGCAGGGCGGCCCACCCCCAGCCGGAGAGCAGTCGTGGCCGCCGCCTGTGGAGGCACGCGAGGCGGAGCGCGCGTTCAGCTGGTGGTAACGCTGTGTTCAGTCGTGGAAAAGCTGGCCCCTGGATGTCAAAAACTAGTCCGTCCGCCCAAGCGCTGGCCTCGCTCTGTGCAGCCTCAGCAGACCCTGCCCCTCACTGGCCCAGGACGCACAGCTGCCAACCCACTCCGCGTTCCGGAGCCGCCGCCGGGTCACTGGGGTCAGTCGCCTGGCAACCCAGCCTGGCTGCCCTGCGACCGGTTCCTGGCCTTAGGGGCTGCAGCGGGGCGCCGTGGGAGGTCCCTGCCCCGGCGTCCCTACCCTGGCCAGGCCGCCCGAGCCTCCTCCTGCGCAAAAGAGCTGGGCGCTAGACGGCCAAGCTACTGCGGCCTCCCGGCCCGGGACCCCGGTCGGAGGAATCAGGAGCCAAGGCCGCCCAGGGAGCTGAGTGGGGTCCACCGGCCCTCACCCGCGCCCCTTTCCTCCTTCGTCGCGATGCCGGAGCTGTCTGCTTTACAGCAGCAGAGGTGGAAACTTTCCGAGTTGACGGTAGTCAGCTGCGGCTATAGTTGGTGCAGGACGCAGCGCCTGGGGGGGTGGGGGGCGGTGGGATCAGGGATTCCAAGCCGATTAGGCGGCCGGGTCAGCACGCGAGGCTGGTTCCAGGCCGCCAGGAAGCCTGAGCGAGCACGCTGGCCCCGAGAGCCAGCGGCGGGGGCGGGGTCGCCCTGGGTTGCGTGACCTGCCGCCCAGCAGTCGCACGCACTTCGTGTCCTAGGAGGCGCTCCCAGCCTGGGCTGCAAGGCACTGCCGAGGGGTTGGAGGTGCAGGTGCTGGAGGGCGGCCCGGGGTTTCCACCTTTACAACCCGAGCAGGGAGGGGAGTCACGCTATATTTCTGGAACAGGGCGTGAGTTCACCGTGGAGGACACAACGTCTCCTTGTTATCAGCACGGAGGTAACATTCAGTAATAAAACTCGCTCAGACAGGATGTATGAAACGTACTAGGAACCAGAGCTGCTCTATCAATAAGCAATCACGCCAGGGAAACTTTCCAAGGCAAGCTTTAAACTAAGGCACAGCGCACAGGTGCAGTTGGTGTGACGGACGTGCTTACACAGAAAAGGAACCAGAGCAAAGACTGCTGGCCTTAAGGAACTCAAGTCGTGTTCACTCTGCACGAAGATTAATGCCCTTGGGACTCTTGAGTTGCCATATAAGAGAGGTCTCTCCAGTTAGTGTGCCAGGGAAATGAGGCACCTCTGATTTTAAAATAAAACACACTGGTCCTCCCAGGGTACCTCAGCTGATTAGAGCGTGTACAGACAAGCCAAGGTTGCAAGTTCCATCCTGGTCAGATGCTTCTTTCCCTTCCTCTCTCTCAAATTAAAACCAACCAACCAACCAACCGACCAACCCCTGGAAAAGTACGCTTCTGGGAGGAATGACAGCATACACAGCCCCATGGCTGTTACTAATGTTTATGAGAACACAGTGTCTGTACTTTTGTTTCTGTTATGAATTTACTTAAGATATTTGTCCCGCAGGGCACTGTCTTACGTCCCATTCATTTTCATAAGTAGTATGCCCCCTCCCCTCCTCTCCCCCTTACCCCTATGAAAAGCATGCGGGAGAAGAAATACTTCGTCTACAAGTCTGATAAAAATATTAGGAAGTGTACCCAACATTGCTAATTTCAAAACGAGCTCAGAATTGTACAGAGGGAACATAGGGAAACTCCAGTTAGCCCAACTTTTATTTTTTATCCTGTGAACCAGAACACAGTACCACGTTACCCTGTATTCCCTCAAAAGTTTGAATAAAGTGGCTGCAGACAGGCCTCCCAGGGTGGCAACCACAGCTTTCATTGCTCTTTCTGGGGTCCATCCAATGCGAATACAGAATTTTTTAAAAGCTGACATTTATTAGGCTCTATTTGCCAGGTACTTCATACATGTCTTACTTATTGGGAATACTGCCAAACTCAACTCAGTCAGATTCTCCTTACTGTTTACTTTCACCCAAGAGTTGGAAGTGGCCGGAAGCACAGACGGTACTTAGACTGAATGTGAGTGTAAGCAGAAGCACCTGCTCCTCATGTATTGTATTAGTGGACTCTCAGCCAACCAGCACCCACGGGGCATTAGTGAAATGTGGATTAGGAGCATATGTAAATGCCCAAAGTATATTTAATTCTTAACTTGGGCATAGACTTTTGCCCAAAGTTAACTTAACTTATGCCCAAAGAAACTTAACTTTGACTTGGACTTACTTTCTTCATAACTTTTCAGACACAGCTTCCCGTTTTCAAAAAAGATTTGGTCAGCTATAAGTGATCACTTGCTTTGTTGTACTCACCCCAACACATTTTATTCCCACCAAGATGTAGGTTGGATTTTCTGTCCTAACCCTTTTTTTTAAACTGACAATAAACATTTAAAGTTTTAGACTCCTTTGTAAAGCTACTTTGTACATTTTGAAAACTAAAAAGGTCGTCTTGATGGGCCCGGGCCACAAAATACTAGTTACATAATTATACTCTATATTTTTGAATCCATCATGTGTTCAGTGTAAACTCGAGTACCTAATAAAGTGAAGGTCGTGATGTTTAAATAGCATTTCTCTCTAGGAGTTCAAATGTTTTGTCATCTGCACAGGAATAACTTGTATACTGAATTCTTTTTAGCCCTGAGAATATGATTACTGAACTAAATTTCCACTGACACAAATCAGGCCTTTAAATCATAAACATCTATCGGATATTAAACGTAAGTCAAGTACTACAGTGAAGCCTTTTATGATTATAAATGTATTCTCTTGTGGCCTGTTCACTATTGATAAGAACTTTACCTAAATATGTACTATGTGCCAAATATAGTTGAATATTTGTTACATGAATATATTTTATTTTTATAGATACATATTAGTTCCAGATGTATAATGATTCAATATTTGTATATATTATGAAATAATTACAACAGTAGGTCTAGTTAACATCCTTTATCACACGATTACAAATTATTTTTTTCCTGTGATGAGAGCTTTTAAGATTACTCTCTTAGACACTTTCAAATATACAGTGCAGTATTATTAACTATACTATTACTATATTATACTATTATTAACAACTGTGCTGTAGCTCACATCCCCAGGATTTATTTATTTTCATGAATATATTAAAAAAAAAGAATAAAACTAATGGCACTGACTTAAAGCTCTCGTAATGAATTTGATGCTTAAAAATATAGTACTGATAGTTCTTTAAATTCTTAGCATTGTATACCTAGCCTTAATAGATGTTAATGAATTCAAAGACTAAAAATTGATAATTTCCTTATGTATTGAAAAAAACACGTTTGTAGAATTTGCTAGTTTAATGAAATTATTGCTTATTCCTGAGATTTCCGTAGGATTCCAATGAAGCATTTAAGACTCTAACTCACATTTGTTTCAGTAAACAATTAGAAGTGATTCCATTCTACCTTGATAGAGATGAAGTTCATGCTCAGTATTTATAATTTTCAGTAGCTATCAAGTTTATAGGAATCAAATTATAGCAATTGTCCTGCCATTTTGTTATATCTCTATTAATAAAATGTTTAATGCCATTAAATAAGGAATTGTGAATTATATTTTCTTACAAATTAATGAAAAAATATCAAACATTATCAGCTCTAACAAATGGTGAAAAATTAATTACTGTAGCTCTGGTTTGAAAGGGTGTAGCCCAACGAACATGCTTAAACAGTGCTATTAGGGTCAACAAGAAATACGTTTATTATGTTCTAAAACTCTTAAATGTTCACATCTACTGGAATGGGCACCTGATCCTCCTCCTTCCTTGTTTTCAGGAATCCAGACCTCTCCCCTTTCCCCACCATCCAAAAGCAGGTAAATCAGCCCAGCTCCAGGAATGAGCTCCGATTAAGTCAGTTCTGCCAGCCCCTTGCCCTTTACTGGTGATTTAAATGGAATGGGCCTGTGACCCAATTCTGACTAAACCTGCTTCAAGAGAAGTTTGCTGGAAGCTTCCGAGAAAGTTCTAATCAGCATATATATTTAGGGTTCATCACAATCTGGTTTATAAAATTTAAGGATTAGCAACAGCAAAATATGAAACTGACTTACCAAACAAGACTGAGTGGTTATGAGAAAAGATAAATAAATCCTTTGGTGATGAATGTCCTAAGTAGATTTTTCTGTGAAAGAAAGCAATTAAAAAAAATAGCACTATAATGTTTACATGCACTCCAAATAGCATTCTAAATACCATATACCTTTTTGTTCACGACTTCTATCAGCATATATTTTATTAGGATACCAGTGTACCTCACAGAATCAACAGAAATGCTGAATAACCAAGCTTCATGAAAGCAGGAAGCAGGACTGCTTTGAGAGCTTCACACATGAATTCTGGAACTCTAAAAATCATAGACAGTCTCAGCCCTTTGAATCTACCACTTAAGGGAAGTTGGGGGTTCTATACTTTTTTAGTTTCTGCGCATGGCAGGTCAGTGGTGGCTAACAGTCCAATTTTGCCACCAGAAGGAAGAGAGGAAGTTTTGTTCCCAACCCACAGCTAGAAAAATGTCAGGAAATGACTGGCATATCTTGGGTTATACATCAACCCCTTGACCAAATTCCTGAAGCCAGAAGGAGTCAGGTACAGGCCTCCTGATCAATTGTAGGGACCAGGAATGCAAGGCCACAAATGATGACCTCCCTTTCTAATAACATATCTAGAAACATAGGGGCCAAATCCAAAGAAGCGGGACAGTTCTGTTCAGAAGAAAAGAATGCTAGACAAACATTCCTATGTACTTCAGAATCAGGGTTAGCTGGGAAAATACTTTACCCAGCTAAACAGTAAATCTTGCTTTTTCCACATAAACTGAGGTGAACATGTGTATTTTGTAGTGCACAGTAGGCCTCCTAACACAGGAGAATCCCCCTCTTAAGTAGTGGTGTGTTACTCGTGTAATACATTGCACGTGTGTGTGAGTGTGTGTAATCAGGCATCATAAGCCTATGGGTAATAATAATAGGGAAATAAGAATATAGATCAATAAATCAAAATTTAAATAAATAGAAAATAAGCTAATGAGGAATTTTGCGAGCTTTCAGTTGATTGGAGTGGTTTTTGAATTAAACTGTTTTGGTGTTAATATTCTTGTTTTGTCCTCCAAACCTGATTTATCTACAAATCTACAAACGTTTGAATTCCATAGATACCTGAGCAAACAATATATTTTGCTCATGGAACCTTAGATTTCTTCCTATATGGCATCCTATATATAACATCTGCAACCTTTCTTTCCCTTTAATAACTACTACAACACAAAAGTCTGTAGGCCATGTGGAAAGCCCTAGCTTAGTCACTTTACAGAGACTCTGTTCCCAAAACTAAGGGGCATTTTTCTCAGGGGTCATTGACCCACCGGAGGAAAAGAATAATAAAGGGTCATAGAGGAGGTTAAGAGAAACTTAATTTGGTTATCACTGGATTACTTTTAAGGGTCATAGTAAAAAGTGAAACTTTGCTGATTTAAAACTTAAGAACAGGATAAAACAAAACTTTATTCAATATGTCCAATGATGGGAATATTTTAAATTCTACTTCAGTTAGTATGGCCCATAAAGTGAAAAAAAGAAGTGGAAAAAGAAAAAGGACGAGGAAGGAAACCTGGACAGAGGAAGAGATTGATACAAATGGAGAACCAAGAAAAATACACACCAACATGTGAGAAAGGCTTATTAAATTTCTTTAAAAAAAAAAACTATTGTTTTTTTTAAAAAACAAAACATCCTGCCACAACTCTTCGTCTGTGCTGTGGTCTTCAGGAATAACCCTTTTCACTGCTACTCTTTAACAAAGGCTATTCACAATTTACCAACTCTCTTTATCCTTGACATTCTTGGAGTGCTTTCCACTGTTCAACGGAACTTTCTTTGATGATGAAAACGTTTTAAATATATGTGAAGTCACGTGGTAGCAACTTGTAATTACCGAGTGTTTGAAATGTGGCTAAGTGCGAAAAAGGAATGTAAGTTTTTACTGTACTTCATTTTAACTAAGGCTGGCAGTCTTATTGGACAGTGCGGTTCTAAGAAACATGTACAGTGGAAGGAAAGTTGGTCTCGAGGCTAATGTAGAGATGAATTAGATGAAATTAAACCACAGAATTAATGAGCACCCCGTACTGGACCACTTCATTGGCTGTTCTTTGCCTTTCTTAATCCTTGTTCAGTCCTCTAATATGCTTTTCTTCCCCAGATGAAGAAAGGTGCTCTCTTCAAAGGGGTATAAATAGAAAGTCGCTGGTAGGCATTGCGGCAAAAATATCAGGTTAAATAAAGTGTACATGGTAAATCTATTTTCAAGACTTTTAGTGCTTTTAGGAACAACGCTTTTAGAAGCGTTCAGAACTTCATGCTATCATTTTTATTAATAATAGCTATGTAGTGTGACAACTGTTCTAGCATGTTCTACATCTTTGGATTCTCTAAGTCTACACGTTTTAATTAACTTTCTTGGTATTTATTCAACCTTATTTTATTCAATACTAATGTCTTTCCCTGTTAATGACCAGTGAGTATTTTGTTTCTTGGAAGAGCTGCATTTTGGATCTCATCGCCTTTCAAAAAGGAGAGATCTGGATTGTGAATGAGTCACCTGCAAATCATACCAAAGGCTGCCTCTGTCTGGGTCAGTCACTGAGCTTCACCCCATCCTGGAATGCAGTGCTTGTCACACAGTGAGCTATCATTAAATACCTGCTTTATGAATGAAGGAAAGTCAGTCATACGTACAGTCATCTATGGATAAGTAAGTTGTGGACTAGGGGTCTCAAGATACTTTTTGAACTAAACCCTTCATCTTGACTACCCTTGGACTAGGATGAAAATTTTACCAACACCTTCCCAATTAACCTGCCCCCCCCCCCCCCCCCCCCCCGCCACAACTGAGACCGGAGCTTCCCCTTGACACCCATTACCTCTACTGGCATCTCTCCTCTTTCCACCCAACTACAGTAAACTGCCCGCTGCCTCGTCCTCCACACGGACCCTGGGACCGGGTTAAGAAGCAGATGAACTTAGGCCCCCTCCATTCGGAAAGTCGCTGTCGTGACTCCAGCCTGCACTACCGCCCCCCACCCACCGCTCCCGGGCTCGCCCTTCCCTGCCTCTCCTGGCACTCCTCACGGCACTCTGCGTTGGATGAGCCCCTTCCTTTGATCCCACCAGACCTTTCCCGCTTCCGCTGGGCGCTGGAGCCCCAGCCAGGGCAGGCAGGCGTCTTGCTCTTGCGTCGTCTTTGGCGACATGCGTGGGCTGTGACGCCATCGCGCCCTGACGTCAGACTACGTGCAGCACGGTCTCCAGGGAGATTGGGAAAGCCGTTTCTCTTCCCACGGAGTCCAGGTCTAGGTGAGAGACGACAAACGGCTTCCGTGAGCCCCGGGATGGCCCGGTCCAGGACGCAGTTCCGGAGCGGAGGCGAGCCGCCTGCCGGAAAGAGAGCCGCAGCGCCCCGAGCCTCGCCTCCGCCCCCTGCTGCATCCGCTGGCCCGCCCCGGGGGCTGGCGGCCTAGCACCCGCTCCTGCCCTGCGGTGTGCAGCTGGGGCCACACCGTCGCACTCTCCGCTTCTTCCAGCCGGGGCAGATCCCGAGGGAATGGGGGTTAGAAAGGGACAGATTTCAAAACCCTTCTAGGAGTTTTGCTGGCCTTGCAGTTGATTTCTGTTTGGAAAATCCCGCCGCTTCAGGAAGGTCTTAGGATATAACACCCGCCTCATCCAACCCTGACCTCATTTGTGGGTGATTCACACCAGCGGGGTAGTTCTTTTATGGAAGGGCCTGAAAACGGATTGTGAGTTAATGGCCCAGGGTGACACTGGTGTGAGGAAGGGAATATGAAGTGAACAATCGAGGACATTTTTGTGTTTTTGACATCTGCTTTGTGACCCTGTTAGAGCAGGTTCAGAAATACCCATGAAGCTGCTGCCAATTATCACCACACCTCTTGCTGAAAGGTAGTCTTCACGTGTGTAATGTGTGTAGTGTGAAAGAATAAAAGGGAATCATTTGATAAAACATGCAAAGTAATGTAAGGGTAAATTTAAATTATTTAAAAATTTCCCTGTTGCCAAAAGGGAAAGAGACCCTTCACCTCTTTTTCTTGAGAAACCTCTTTTTTGTGAATTCCCCCACTGTTTCTCTAATGTGTATGCAAAGACCCAGAATGTTTTCCTTGAGGCCCTGACAGCCATTTCTTTAAAAGGTAAATATCAAGGAAGGTAGCTCAGGTTTCCATATCTCAATGGGAGTTTTAGTCTAGAGGGCACCTACTAACCACCTGCTTTATCATATAGAGACTTGCATTCCTTAGAACAAATGCAATTAGCTAGCATAGATGGCCACTTCAATTACCAGGTGAATTTAAAACGACCTATGGAAAGCTGTATTGAGGATAAGTTACCATGTATCTGGAGAACGTGTATGTAATGAACTGTATCTGCCTGACTGTATAAAACAGTAGGATTTCTTTATGTCTTTGGAATCTCATTAGCAGGTTGATTGTGATGTGCCTGGCTGTCTAGTTAAATGCATATTCAATAATAACATTGCTACCTTTCTGCCATGGGGAGATTTTCTGGGTTGACAGATATTTTACTTTTAATTTTTCATCTATAATTACTGCCAGTTCTTCCCCCATGGTAGAGTAAGACCACTAAGTGGGGATAGATTTACAGACAATGAAGGTTCTAAATAAAAATGGTCCCACTGGTGCCTTGTTTGTACTGTCACTAGGTCCATGCTCTCAAATAATCTTGTGGGTGGAATTTTAAAAGGAAATTTAGTTGGCAATTTAGGAGAAATTCTCCCAATAGAATTTAATTAAGCTGATGCCATCTTGTGTTGCTGATGGTGAGTCCATTGTAAAATGGCAGAAATGAGAATAATGAGCCTTCTGTGAATAATGAGCTCTTGCCACATCACGGTGACAGTCTGCCAAACATCAGATTATTATGTACTTGGCCATGTGGGCCCATGTTAACTCTCCGTTAACTTTACCCTCATAGTTAGCTCCAGTTAACTTTACCAAACACACACACACAGACACACACACACATTACATTTATGTGAAAAGACAGCTCGTTAATTATTTGCTGTAAACAGCAACTCATTAAAACAAGGGTTTTGTGCTAATGGCTTAGGGAGGGAATTCTCTCCTCTACCAATAGTTGCATAATTTTTAAAAATACTGCAACTACAAGAATTGTTGTCACCTACAATTTCCTTGCTACCTTGGCAAGGCTGCAGTTGCGATCTCGGGTAGAGTACTCTGCTTCTCCTGTCTCTGTCGAAATCCTACCCTGATCAAAAGCAAACAGTCTCAGGAAGCCTTCACCAATTCTCTGCTCCAAGATACTTTTCTTCCCCAAGCTCCTGGATTTTTCATTATCTACAACTTTTGGCCCTTGGGTCTTTTCCCTACCATGGAATTGGGCCAGGGTCATCTTGCTTTGCTGCCCTACTTCTGTCCCTTACTCCTTGGGTTATAAACATCTCTTGCTGATGAAATTGGACTGTCTATTCTTTTTTTAAAAAAATTTCTTGATTTAAGAGAGAGAGAAAAAAATAACATCGATTTGTTGTGCCACGTATTTATGCACTCACTGGTTAATTCTCGTATGTGCTCTGACTGGGGATCAAATCTGCAACCTGTGTATTGGGATGATTCTCTAACCAGCCGAGCCTTGCAGTCAGGGTCGGGACTGTCCTGTGCTTTCTCTGTACTTGGGGAAGATTTAAAAAAGAAACAAACCCAAAGTCAAAGTGCTCCTCCATTCATTCTCCATTTTATGAAAGTAATGATAGAGTTTTGTATTGTATTGTTTTATCATAAGATGAAAATCTATGAAAAGTAAAATACCTGCATAAAAATTATAAAATGTCGATTTATAGGTAAAATTGGCTGTTGGCTTCTCATGCTTTGATGACTCTTCTGTTTGGGGCCTGCATATCATATTTAATCTGATAACTGAGCATTTCTTCTGTACATCGTCATTTAAACCAGCATTCATGTCACAGTTGTTTTTCTTGTCTGCTGAACCAAAATGCCATATTTCTGCATTTTTCTAGTAGCTTTTCAAAAAAACCTGAAATAAATGATTCTGTTTAAAATTTTGTGATCCTTATTCTGTATTTGCAAAGCAAATAATTAGTAGTAAACCACCACTGAAATTGCAAGTGGACTTTTAATTTCTAAAGAAAGAAAATATTTGCAGCTATTACCAGTAGTCTCTCTCTATAGGTCTTTTCTGTTTTATTAGCTTAATAACTGAGAAAACCTCACTTGTACGTTTAACACTGAGTTGATGAAATAAACATCTGTTGTAACAGTTATCACCATTTTTCTAAAAATGCTCCCAAGAATTTATATCTTTTAATTTGAAAATTTTTCACATTATTTCAATTCTGATTATTACCATCAATATTTCTAGATTATTTTGCTTCAGAGTTCCTTCAGTATATTTTTGGAAATTATGGATCGTCACATTCCCATGCATGCATTACCAGAAGAAATCCAAAAGGTATGATATTATATCATGTTATTACAGCATAGCATTAGTAACATTTTAACAGGTAGATAATTCTAAAACCTAGGGGAGTGAATTCAGAGGTTTTGTATTTATTTTTGTCAGGGCACCTGTAATGAATTGATGGAGTGGGGAGGGGAATAATCTAAACTGAGGAATTCAGTTCGGTGCCAAGTGTTTGACTTGTAAAAGAAGACAGAGATACAATTCCAGCACAGTATTTGACCAGGTGTTTGTGGAGCCCTTGGGAAAAGAGGGAGGGCCCCAGGAATGTCTCAATACTATATTTAGATACTTTTCTAGAGGATTTACATGAAAAAGTTTAAAAGAAACTGGCATAAATGGGTCTGTTTAAAATTTTAAGTGATCCTTATTCTGTATTTGCAAAACGAGCAATTAATAGAAATTAAACCACAGAAATTAAAATTAGTTTGTAGGTTTTCATGATGCTAAATTTTTAAATCAATCTCTCTCTCTCTCTCAGGGTCTATTTCAGTTTCACCCTAATTCTTGCACCATGTTTAAGGTTCTTTATAAGCAAATTATTTTAAAATGCTAAAGCCAAGCATTTCATAAATCTACAGTTATGTTCTCAGAGCAGGAATGGGAAGCAAAAATGACTGTACTACACTGTGTTATTAATAACAAAATAGGTAGTAGTAGAAAAGTTGCAAGAAAAAGTAGAGGTGGTGGGGGGATGGCCACCAAATGAGAAAGGATGGGGAAGAATGCTGATGATACTAAGCAATAATTAGAGAATGAATCCATTCCCTGACTGGTAGGTTAAGGTTGTTAAATCAGCTACCCCTTGGTCTCACCTTTTAAGGGACTGTTAGGTAAGTAAGAATTCTTGCACCAGGCACTTTTAAAAGCCCTTTCATATATATAAACTCATTTAATCTACTTAACAATTCTTCTTCACAGTTCCAAGCTAATCTCCTCCCTGTTAGTTCAGATCTGTCCTCAGGCAAACACATTTCTCCCGTGTTTAGTTTGGCAATGCATACATTGTTAATGGTATAATTTTAAAAAATATCTCTTTGAAACTGATCAACAAATTGAGAATTAAAACTTCAGACCGTAGCTATCATTAATCATTCAGGTTTTTCAGTCAACTCTTAACCACTAGTCTGTTACTTTTTAATTAAAGAAATTAAAGTCAGCTCTCAGATATGCTTTTATCCTTTGTTCATGTTACTTTGGGCTTCCTGTTAGCATTAACCATGCCATTGATTTCACTTGATACTTACTGTTACTGCATGTTCCCCAGATTTATGTAAACTGCAATCTAACAGGAACTGGAAGGGAAAGCCAATTACCAGAAAAGACCTTTTCAGGCATAGCATTTAATTATCTTCACCTGTTAAGTTAGGTGTACTAGATGGTAAGCCCAGAGAGAGCTCAGCCATGTATGCAGTGCTTACCTGGGAAACGCTGCTTTTATCATTTTATAGACGTGGAATGTCTTTCCTTTTTCCCTCAACTGAATTCCTTCCATCCCTACCCTGTGTGGTAGGGATCAAAGGAAACAAAACAAAACCATCTGCAAGAGACAATACTTGTACTTTGGATTCCAATCATTTGTCAGGAAGAGGGTATATAATCACATGAAAAAAATAATTCTAAAAGACAGTGTCTAATTTAAATGTCATACAAGATTGTATTTTTTTCTGAGAGAGGAGAAGGCAGGGAGAGAAATCCCCAAGTTTTGGGATGGCCAAGGGAGGAGCTTTATGCAGAAGTTAGAACTAGGACTGGCCCTTAAAGGCGGAGTGTTTCTGTAGACTCCTGGCACTAGGGCATGCTAGGCCGCGGGAATAGAAGCTTACTGGTGAGAAAAAGCTGGCCAACTTAGAGAATGTTTAACAATGTAAGTGTTTTGACTATATAAAAAAGTATGTATTTATTTGGACAAGGTTTTATGAGAGTTGTAGAATGTTTTTTCTCATGTTTAAGGTTCTTTATAAGCAAATTATTTTAAAATGCTAAAGCCAAGCATTTCATAAATCTACAGTTATGTTCTCAAAGCAGGAATGGGAAGCAGCTGTCCATACATTGTAGGAAGTGGCAGCTCCAGGAGAAGTGCCGCTGCCTGAGGCCCTGGACAAGCATTCTGATGGCGCCCTTTGTCCTGCTGAATGTTTGGAATTTGAAGTACAGCTTTGCACTTTTTCAGTCCTAAGTTTGATCCATTTCTACAACAAATATTTATCCAGAGCCTGTTATGTGCCAGACATTGTTCTGGGCACTTGATTATAAAGCAACCAAAATGTGTACATGCACCCCACGGCGTATTAGAGCGCAGTCTAAAAATAAGGCAGTTATTTGTTTTCCATAACTTCTTACCTATGTTTGATTCATCTGGTCTGTCCATAATGTTAAATTGCCTAGTGATCAGGCAGTATATCTACCTAGTCAGCTTGCATACTTCATTCTACACAGAGTCATGTCAGATAGATGCAGGGCAGGTAAAAGTAGGTTTACAGTTCTTATGGAAAATAATACAATAGTTAATAAAGAATGCAAGAGTAAACTATTTTGCATACTTAGAACTATAAACCTACTTTTGCCCCACCCTGTATATAGCTTATAATGGTAATAGGAATACTTGAGATGAGAATTATTTAATAATACCATATTATTAAGTGAAAAAAATTTTATAATGGCTTAGAAATTGCCTCCATTTCTTTATTTGGGAAAAAAGGACATGAGGTGGGTGGATCAGTGTCTCTCCCCACCCCACTCCTGTTCTTCTTTTAACTGTTTTGTGTTAGTTTTTATGCTGATTCTTCTTTCTAGACAAGTCCTTGTCCATCCTCCCTCCCTCCCTCCCTCCCTCCCTCCCTCCCTCCCTCCCTCCCTCCCTCCCTCCCTCCCTCCTTCCTTCCTTCCTTCCTTCCTTCCTTCCTTCCTTCCTTCCTTCCTTCCTTCCTTCCTTCCTTCCTTCCTTCCTTTTTTTATCCCTCTGTGTAGGCAAGGAAAGTTAGTGTAGAAATCAGAGGAGAAGGTAAGGGGAGCCCTTCCTCCTTATTTCTATCCATACTTTTGCTATGTGATATGGGAATGGGATGGTTGATAACTTACATGAAAGGTACTTGATAAAAACATGAAAATGACTGTACTACACTGTGTCATTAATAACAAAATAGGTAGTAGTAGAAAAGTTGCAAGAAAAAGTAGAGGTGGTGGGGGGATGGCCACCAAATGAGAAAGGATGGGGAAGAATGCTGATGATACTAAGCAATAATTGGAGAATGAATCCATTCCCTGACTGGTAGGTTAAGGTTGTTAAATCAGCTACCCCTTGGTCTCACCTTTTAAGGGACTGTTAGGGAAGTAAGAAAAGGATAATTTTTTGATTTCCATTTCTATGTCTTTCTGCTTTTTATCACAGTTTCTGACTGAGCGTAAAATTCATCTCAGACTTATACCTCCCAAAGTGGCACAAAATGTAAAACAGGTCCATGGGCTGGACAGCAAGACCACACTCATCCCCTTTGCTGCTGGACTCTACAGTTTACTGCCATGCATACTTAGAACGGATTTTAAAATCTGTTCTTTGTCTAGATTGAGCTGACTCATGCCTGTCTCTCACCTCTGATAACCAGCAGCTTTCCTAGAATTTTCATCCAGCATTCTGAAAGCAGAATACTTGTAATGATAGTACAGTTCTGTGTTTAGGATTTTATTGCCACAATTAAAATTAAAACACCGATCAGCAAAGTGATACTGTATTTCTTCCGCTCCAGAATGTCAACCCATTTTAGAGACATATGGACTTCTTCTTTTTAGGAAAAAAAGCAATGAGCAACTTAACTTTTGTTGTTCCTGCTTGGGGACATGTACAGAAATCAGAACAACTACAACAAATTAATAAAAGAAATCAGCTATTTTGCAGAAGTAAAGCTGATCTCTCTCTTTTAAATGGTGACAAAACCAGCCCTTGTAATAGAATTTTAGCTTCAGGAAAGATATTTATTACCAGCGGACTCAAAGTAAAATAAAGAGATCAGAGTTGTTTATTTTATAAAACACAAGTGGTGGCGCAAGGACTGGAGAGCACACTGTTCTTTCTGGGGTAACAATCCCTTTCTCTAGCAGTAACAGCTCATTTTGTCCTGTTTCAGTACAGTAATTTTAGTACTTTGAAACTTTGAAATTTATTCAGAATAACAGTTTTATATTTCCAAGCACAGATTGTTATTGCCAGAGAAAATAAACTTAATTTTCCAGGTCATTTTGGGCCACTGTAGCCAGGGTCAGATTTTGTGTTGAGTTAGAGAAAAAAGAATGAGAAAAGGGTCATAGAAATGTTAATATTGTTATCCTGGAAAAGTGATGGTATGTGTATGTGTGTGTGTGTGTGAGGGGTGGTATGTTGTGTTTTTAAACAATTGTAGTTTTAAAACCTAGTGACAGAGGAAGTAGTAAACTGTGCAATTCTCTGAGAGACTAATCACTTAATATTGCGATCTAAGTTTGTTAGGAAAAACAGTTTAAAAAAATGTTACTATGAATTTTCAAAAAACCCTACATTTGTGAATTTTTAGTCTGAAATACTTTTCTGGCTGGCCACAGAGGGTGATAGAATTTACTAAAGTGAGGTTTCCTGGCAAGAAGGTAGGTATTAGAGGAAATATACTTTGGAAGCATACATAGATAAACATAGGTATGTCATATATAATTTATGCACAAAGCCAACATTTCTCGAAGTTGCTTAATAAAATTTATTTATGGATTAATCTTTGGTATTTTAGTCCCAGATTGACTTACTTTTTAAATTATTTTCTTATTAAACTTCTTATTTTGAGATTATAGATTCATATGCTTTTACCCCAACTGCTCCCAATGGTAATGTCAGACAGAACTGTAGTGCAATATCACAGCCAGGATACCGACATTGATACAGCCAAGACATAAAACAGTTCTGTTACAACAAGGATCCTTCCTGTAGACCTTTTACAGCCACATTCACCTCCACGTCCCCCTTCATACACCTCCACCACTCCCTGACCTCTAATCTGTGACCCCTGGCAACCACTGATCTGATCTCCAACGGATCTGTCATTTCAAGAATATATAGACAAAATCATGCAATAGGTAACCTTTTGGGATTAGTGTTATCACTCAATGTAATTCTCTAGAGCTTTTTTTCAGGTTGTTGCATGTATCAATCATTTATTTCTTTTTACTGCTGAGTATTATTAAATGGTATGAATGTACTATGGTTTGTTTAACCTGTTGAAGAACAGCTGGCTTTTTTCCAGTTTTTTGGCTATTACTTATAAAACTACTATAAATATTCACATATAAGTTTTTATGAGAACATATGTTTTCATTTTCCTGGAATAAATGCCCAAGAGTACAATTGCTAGGCTGTACGGTAGTTGTGTGTTTAGTTCTTTAAGAGATTGCCAAACTTTTCCAAAGGCTGTCCCATTTACGCTTTCGCCAGCAGTGAGTGAGTGATCCAGTTTCTCTGCATCTTAACCAGCGTTTCGATGTTGTCACATTAGTTTTTCTTTTAGCCTTTCTGATAGGCGTACAGTTATATCTCATTGTGGTTTTAATTTTCATTTTCCTAATGACTAGTGATGATGAGTATATTTTCATGTGCTTATTTGGCATCTGTATATCCTCTTAGGTGAAATGTTTCTTCATGTCTTTTGACTATTTAGTAATCAGAATTTTTTTATTTTGTTGAATTTGAGAGTTGTTTATATAATCTAGATACTAATCCTTTGTTAGATATGTGGTTTGCAAATATTTTTTTCTGCTATGTAGTTTATGCTTTCATTCTCTTCATTGGGTTTTTGTAGAGAAAAAGTGTTAAATTTTGATGAAATTCTGGTTGTCAGTTTTTCCATTTATGGACTCATGCTTTTGATATCAAGTATAAAAATTCTACCTAGGTTAGTTCCTGAAGATTTTATCCTAGGTATTTTATCTTCTAAAATCATATTTTTATGTTTTACCCTTAAGTTCATGGTTCATTTTCAGTTAATTTTTGTGTAGGATGTAAGGTTTAGGTTGAGGTTGTTTTTTAAAAAACTTATGGGTATCCAATTATACCAGCATGGTTTATTGAAGAGGCTTTCATTTCTTCATTAAATTGCTTTGGCAAAAAATCAGTTTGGCATATTTATGTAGATTGATTTCTGGGTGGATTGAAAGTAGGTATACTTTCTCCAGTCCATTCTGTTGTTCTGCGTGTCTGTCCTTCCACCAGTACCACGCGGTCTTGATCACTGTAGCATTACAGTGTGTCTTGCAATCTGGTATAATGATTCCTCCCACTTTGTTATTTTTCAAGGTGGTTTTAGTTCTTGTAGTTTTTTTGCCTTTCCATATAAATTTGAGAACATTCCTTTCTATATGTAAAAAACATCTGTCTGGAATTTTGATAAGACTTACATTAAACCTATATGTAAATTTGGAGAGAATTGATATATTGAATATTTTGAGTTTTCCAACCTTAAATACAGTATGTCTCTTCATTTACTTAGATTTTTGATTTCTTATATCCATGTTTTGTAGTTTTCTGCATATAAGTCATGTACAAGTTTTGTTGTATTTATACCTAAGTATTTAATTTTTTGAGCAATTGTAATTGGTATTATAATTTTACTTCATTGTGTTCTCTGGCAGTGTATAGAAATGCGGTTGTTTTTTTGTATGTTTATCTTGAATCATCAACTTTGCTGAACTTATTAGTTCTAGAAGTTTTAGTGTGGATTCTTTGGGATTTTTCTGTGTAGACATCATGTCATCTCAAATAGGAACAGTTTGTATTTTCCTTCCTGGTAATGTATGGCCTTTATTTCTTCTTCTTGCCTTAATGCTCTGTCTAGAATTTCCAGCATTATGTTACATAAGAGCAGAGAGAATGAATATCCTTCCTTGTTTCTTAAGGGAAAAAAAATCACTCATTTTTTCACCATTAAGTATAATGGAGGTGTGGGGTTCTCTTGTAGATGCTTCTTTACCAAATTGATTTTTAAATTGGTGATACAGCAAGTTAACTCACTGATGAGGAAGCGTCCAATGGCCTTATGAGATGGTAGGGTGGTCTGTGTGGCTCAGAAATTCCATTATGCTGTCTCAAAATGTTTCTCCCAGTCTCAGCAAAATTATCTAGCTAGACACTCACTGTTTTTGTAAGACACTCATCTTTTTAATGCAGATCCTTTTGGAAGGGTTAACAGTTTATACTGCTGTTACTCTTACTTTTGTGGAAGAGTGGATCTGTTTCTTTTTTCCTTAACCAAACACAATAAGTATGGGACTGGTGGGGCAAGAAAGGAGGAACAATTTTTGGAGCAGAGCATGCCTCAGTTGGGCAGCGGGGGTTACTACTAATAGAAAGGGCTAACCTTTCTATTTGAAGCATAGACAGGAACTTTGAAAAGGACTCAAAGCTTAATTTAAGATTTAAAAAGTTTTTACATCATTTTTTATGTTAAATAACTATAATTTAAGAAGTATAAATGCTGCAGTTGATAAGTTTATTTTATAATTTACTTTTAAATGGTTCTGCATTTGTTTAATATACTACATTTGTTAATGCCTCCTCCAAAGTACATCTTCCAAAAAGCAAAGACATCCTGCTAATAATAGTCATTTTGTCAAGAATGACAGCATGTCATTATTTTACTTACAAAACAAGGAGATGATATAGCACCAAGTTTTAAGGATGAAGCATAAATTATATTTCACAAAAACCCAGATAACTTTTAGTTACCTCATTTGGGAACATAATTACAGTATTTTATATCTTTTCAAGTTTCACAGAAGTGTCCTAAGTAATTAGCCTGTATCGACACTAAGAATTTGAAAGTGTTATTATATTTTTCTGTTGCGATTTTACTTACAGAAAGTTATTTACAATTTAATGGCATTGAAAATGTTTGTTTAATACACTTACTTATTGTACATTACCCAGTGATTCAGGTTGTACTAGCTGAAGTCTGCAGAGTACTTACATGGACTTATTATTTTATAATTTGATTGTCTTATCTCCTACATCATAATGGTAACCAACCATGTTTTGGCTTTCTTTGCTGAACTTCCGGAAGACCTGTTCTATTAAATGTTTTACTTCACTTATTTTAGCACCCTCCCCCATAATTGCTAGGGTGCAATAACATTCTAATAGGTTTTACAACTGTGAAATTTATGCTATTTCTCTTTTGTACATCGGGCTACAAAGAAAACTCAGTCAGCAAGAGTTTTCTCTAGACTAAGGATAGTGTGCTCTGCCAGGAATGGGGCAAGAACTATGATTAATAGGCAAAAGGTTAAGGATGAAAGTGCCTTGGAGTAAGTGATATAATTTTCAGATTGATGAGAAGGAACCAAAACTAATGATGGGTAAAGGGATGGTAAGAAAATACCCATCTGCTCCGAATTAGTTTAGGTCTCTTGATATGGATGAATTATATTCCTGGGGACTGACAGTACCTTTGATGGGACTGCAGGGCACATACAAATGCCATCCCATGTATAAAAATGACCATAAACTCAATTTCAATCCCAGGCAAGATTCCAGAATGTATTATAAAGGGTGATTTGTGAGGATATATTAAGAGAACCAATAAAAGTGGACCAATTTTGTGTTGATTAAGAGAACCAGCAGGAAGGTCTCCCATTTTGTGCTGTGTTGCTAGATCTAGGAGTGATAGTGGGCATTGGATATATGGACTTCATGGAGGCATTTGACAGATTTTGTCATCATATTCCTGAAGACAATATGAATAAATATAGGCTGGTTACAAAGATAATTGGGTAGTTTAATAACAAGGTAAAAATTATACCTGAAGTGTGATAAGTAATGGATCAGCATCAACCAAGGAAATGTAACGTGCTGTGGAATTCTATCCTCGACTTTGTCATATTCAACATTTTTTATTCATGAATGCTAGAGTTATTAGGTCCAGGAACTGTAGTATCCATAGAATATATGGACTTTATGAAGGTATTTGACAAATTTTATTCATAATATTCCTGAAGATAATATGTACACATACAGGTTGATTACAAAGATCATTGGGTAGCTAGCCCTAAAGGTTTCCTAAATTCCTGGGCCTTCAACGCTTACATATCTAGTTGGATCATTTCCAGATTAGGGCTTGATTCTCTTGGGTGTCATGTCTAGTACTTTTCCACCAGTTGGCCATGGGTAGGGTGGATGGGTGGAGGGGGTTTTAGTCACCCTAGCCTGTACAAGAGTATCACTGTGAAAGACTATGAAAAGTAAAGCTCTACAAAAGGTGGAAAGGTGCCTGCTTCAGTAGCACATTTACTAAAATTGGGATGACACGGAGAAGATTATTATGGCCCTTGCACAAGGATGACATGCAGATTTGTGAAGCATTTCATATTTTTAGTCCTAGCCACAACAATCAGACAAGAAGAAAAAAAATAAAAGTCACTCATATTGGAAAGGAAAAAGTAAAACTGTCATTATTTGCAGATGATACGATACATAGAAAACCCCAAAGAGTCCACCAAGAAACTATTAGAACTGATAAACAAATTCGACAAAGTAGCAGGATACAAAATTAATATCCAGAAATCAGTTGCATTTTTATATGCCAATAATGAACTAAGAGAAAGGGAAATTAAGTAAAGAATCCCATTCACAAGTGACTCAAAAAGAATAAAATATCTAGGAATAAACCTAACCTAAGGATATAAAAAGACCTATACTGAGAAAATTATAAAACACTGAGGAAAGAAATAGAAAAAGATACAAATAAGTGGAAGCACATACTGTATTCATGGATAGGAAAAATTAGCATCATTAAAATGTCCATACTACCCAAAGCAATCTATAGATTCAGTGCAATTTCCGAGATTCCAATGATGTATTTTACAGAACTAGAGCAAATATTTCAAAAATTTATATGGAACTACCAAAGGTCCTGCATAGCAACAGAAATCCTGAGAAAGAAGAACAAAGTTGGAGTAAGCAATACATCAAACTACACTACAAGGCCATCATAATCAAAACAGCCTGGTACTGGCATAAAAACAGACACAGATCAATGGAACAGAATAAAGAGCTCAGAAATAAAGCCATACCTAGATAGTCAATTAATATTCCACAGAGAAAGTAAGCACATAAAATGGGCTAAAGATAGTTTATTCAACAAATGGTGTGGGGAAAATTGGACACATATGTGCAAGAAATTGAGATTAGACCACCTTCTTATATCACACACAAGAGTAAATTCAAAATGGATCAGAGACTTAAATGTTAGACCCCAAATCATAAAAACTGTAGAAGGAAACATAGCCAGCAAACTCTCGGACATTGCTCATAGCAATATTTTATCTCCCCGTGCAAGGAAAACAAAAGAAAAAAAGTAAATGAATGGGACAACATCAAAGTTTTTGCACAGTAAAGGAAACCATCAATAAAATAAAAAGGCAACCCATGGAATGGGAGAATATATTCACTGATACATCTGAAAAGGGGTTAATATCCAAAATTTATAAAAAACTTACAAAACTCACCACCAAAAAAAAAAGTAAAAAATGGGCAAAGGACCCGAATAGACACTTCTCTAAAGAGGACATACAGATGGCCAGTAGACATATGAAAAGATGCTCAACATCACTAATCATCAGAGAAATACAAATTAAAACCACAATGAGATATTATCTTATGCATGTCAGAATGGCTACCATCAATAAATCAACAAACAAGTGCTGGCGAGGATGTGGAGAAAGGGAAACCCGTTTGCACTGTTGGTGCAAATGCAGACTGGTGCAGCCACTGTGGAAAGCAGTATGGAAATAACTTTAAAAAATTAACAATGAAAAACAAATGCATCTTTGCTTTGACCCAGTGATCCCACTTCTGGGAATTTATCCTAAGGAACCCAAAACACTAATCTGAAAGATCATAAGCATCTGTATGTTCATTGCAGCAGTACTTACAATTGCCAAGATATGGAAGCAGCCCAAGTGTCCAGTAGATGAGCAGATAAAACAACTAAGGGACATTTACACAATAGAATACTACTTGGCCATAAAAAAGAAGAAAATCTTACCCTTTGCAGATGGATGGACCTGAAGAACATTATGCTAAGTGAAATAAGCCAGTCAGAGACAAATACTATATGATTTCACTCATATGTGGAATCTAATAAAAAAATTGAACTAACAAGGAAAATGAGGACAGACTCATAGATGGAGAGCAGGATGACAACTAACAGAGGGGAAAGTTGGGGGGTGGAGGGATTGAGCAAAAAGGAAAAAGGACTCATGGACATGGACAACAGTTTGGTGATTACTAGAAGGAGGGGGTTATAAGGGGACTGAATGGTAATGGGAAAAAATACAATAAAGATTAAATAAAAAAGGAAAGGAATGGATTGGTATATTCAGTATAGTAAGACAGGGTTTTGCAGTGCAATATTTTTAAATAGGGGATTTATTTAACATAAAAGATAATAATAGCAACATAATTTCTAAAAATACGAGATTATTATAATGATTGCATTAGAAGATAGTACTAATGATACTAAATACTAATGAGATATTAGCATGAGGGAAGTTTGAGTACTCTCTTACTCTGTTTTAGTAAGACCAGACACACTGAGATATTCAATTCTGGGCACCAACCATACTTTGAAATACATGTAGAACCTAGAAACAAGTTCAGAGAAAATTTGTAATATGAGGAAGAAATTCAAAATCATGTCATATCAGAAACAGCAGAAGGAGTTGAAAGTGTTGACCTGGAAATGAGAAGATTCGGTTACTAGGAGGTCTAGGATCAGTGGGTGTTCCAGGCAGGCAGATTTGGGGTCAGTGTGGGAAAAAGTTCCCTTACAAAACCAGGCATCCGAGGATGCCACAGATTGTTTTACAAAGTAGCTTTCCCTCATTTGGGGTATTCAAGTGGAGTCTGGACAACAACTTATCTAGGTTGGAATAGACTTAATGAACCTATCCAGAGCTCGAGCCAGGTTACCTTTATGATTTCTGTCAAAATTCTTGTTTTATAAATCTATAGTTTTAGTATCAGTGGCAGTTGGATGATTGATGTAGTCATTAATTAATTTCCCACAGTATTATATTTTGGTTCTGCATTTGAAATTTTTTAAAGTTAAATTTATTGGGGTGACATTGGTTAATAAGATTATGTGGGTTTCAAGTGTAAATTCTATGGTCCATCATCTGTATATTTCATTGTTTGCCCACCATTCTAAGTCAAATCATCTTCATCACCATATGCAGGGGTCTGGCACAAATAATGTCCCCCTTTTTTTTAAATTACAAAGTATTTTATTACAGAATCATAACCAGGTAATTCTGTAATATAACAATATCACATTCAAGCATACCATATGACATTTTAGGCAAAATGTTCAATTAAAACTATAAATTGTTACACCCCTGTTAGTACCCGACCAAGCACACTGAAGCAGGCCTTACTTCTGCTGGACCCTGTATTCGAACCCCTTTAACCGTTATTACTCCCCCAGCTCCCTTCTCTCTGGTAACTACCATACTGTTGTCTGTGTCTAGGAGTTTTTATTTGTTTGTTTTTCTTATTGTCCGTTTGTTGCTTTCAATTTTATATACCACATAGAGTGAAATCATTTGGTTTTTAACCTTTTCTCACTTTGCTTAGCATGATGTTCTGAGATCCATGTATGTTGCTGCACATGGCAGTATTTCATTTTTTCCTTTTTAAATTGTTATTCTATTGCAGTGTCCCAATTTTCTCCCCTTTGCCCTACTCTGCCCAGCCCACACCCCACTCCCACAATCCATCCCCATCCTATTGCCCATGTCCATGAGTCATTCATACATGTTCTTTGACTAGTCCCTTCCCCTTCTTTCCACCATTCTCCCCCTGCCTACTCCCCTCAGGTCACTGGTAGCCTGTTCCATCTTTCCATACCTCTGGTTCTACTGGCTGAATAGTATTCCATTGTATATAGGGGGTTGGCCAAAAAGTCTGTTTAGTTTTTTCCTATAAAATAAAAGACACATTTTTCCTTTTTACCAATAACTTTATTGATTTGGATATTTTGAGTATGTTGGCTCTGTCCTGCATGGTATAGTGTTAATTGTTCTCAATTAATGTCTTAATTTGATCACTGTCAGCTTCAGCTGGTCTGCCTGACCACAGAGCATTGTCCAGCACAAAACTTTGTGAACTGTTTTTGACATGATCAGTCACAGCACCTTCTCCATACACAGATCTTTTCTTGCATTTCAGTTGTGTTTTTACCTTTCTTGAAATAATAAAGCATAATATGCCAAAAATGTATATTTTCATCCATCTAAAATACTAAAATGGCTATTCAAAAATTCACCAATTTTCATTTTTTTTTGTAGTGCATGCTGATAGGACAGCTGTTATAATATAGTCTGACAAAATTGTCTCAAATGAAGTGTTTCCAAATTTTTCTGGTAGATACCCAAAAGATGGGTTGCTGGGTCATATGGTAACTGTATTCTTAATTTTTTGAGAAGTCTCTATACTGTTTTCTGTAATGGTTCTGCCTCTTTGCTTTCCCACCAGCAGTGAATGAGGGTTCCTTTTGCTGCACAACCGCTCCAGCACTTGTTATTACTTGTCTTGTTGACCATAGCCATTCTAACATTTGAAATTTTTGTAATTGAAGTTTAAGTGTGTAAAGTTTTACTGTATAAAAATGTATTCCTAGTTGAGTTTTACCACTCTTGTGTAAGAGCATTGATAGACAGTGTGGTGGTCTCACTCTTAGTTACAGGAGCCATTTCTGCAGGCTTAAGGGAGGTTAAGTTAAGAGTAAGTGCTTCTCTAATAAACCCTGAGTTGTTTTCATTTTAGTGCCCCGGGGCAAATATTTAATGAAGCTGCCTCTTTTCCTTTGTGAACAGTAAGACAAGTAGAGGCTACCTGAGGAATATTTGTGTACTTGACACAGAAAAACTAATTACCTCTCTCTTGACTTTGCTAAAATTTTATTTTTTACTGCCGCAAATTGTCCAGAGATATGTGAACATTATTTCTGAAGAAAGTAAGAGAATTTAGCTGACATACACATTGCAGATAAATACAGTTACAGGCATGGGTATTGGTTTTAAATAGACCTGGGTTTAATCCTAACTTCTCTACCTACCAGCTGGTTATTTAACTTCAATAGTTTCCTCTTCCTTATCTATAAAATGAGTATAGCCATAACTGCCTGAGGGGAAAAGAACTAATTTAGGAAGAAGAGATTAGGTTCAAAGGGTTTTTGCTATTTGTGGTTTTATGATAGAATATTAAATTCTGTAAAAATCATAGAATGTTAAAACTGAACAGAAATTAGAGTTCATTTGGCTCAATGCCCTGATTTTATAAATGAGGGAACTAAGCTCTGAAAATGCCAAGAGGGGTCTGCAGGACCCCAGTGCAGGTGAGTGAAAGGCCGGTGCTTCCTTCCCACTTCGTGGAAAACTCATCTTAAAACAAAGATTGTGAAGATGTTTTCATCATTTTTAGTTTGATTTTATAGAAAGTATTTCAAGAGTAAATCTTTCGTAGAGATACCATGTAGAAATAATTACTCTGAAAGATCCTTTTCTAATTCCAAGATTTTGTGCCAGAGTCAAGATCATGCCAATTTAAACAATTTAATGCAGATATAAGCAATGTCATAATTATTACTCCATGACATAGTGCGGTATACACTTACTTCATTGGACCAGCATGGTTGCAATAACATCTTGAACTTAACATCTTCAGTTGAACTTCATTGTTCAGCCTTTAAAAAAAAATATCTCAGTAAATGTATATTCTATTTTCTAGATGTCCCCTGAAGAAAAAGTTTGTAAGTACTGTGGAGTCAGCTATCTAATTCTCCATGAGTTTAAAGCTATGGAAGAAAAAGTGAAAGCAATGGAAAAAGAGATGAAATTTTATCAAGGAAGTATAGAGCGTGAAAAGAGACTTCAAGAAAAACTACATGCTCTTAGCCAAGATTTCGAACAGTACAAAATTGACAGTGACTCCAAAACAGAAAGGTTAGAGTGTGGTTTTTTTTCTGTTACTTATTTAGTTTGAAAGGCAAGTACAGAAAATAAATAGACTTTCAGTGCTTTTCTAGAATCTCTCTGTATCAGATATAATTTATATTTGAATACATTTGAGTTTATTAATAATTACTAAGTATAATTATTAATGATAATTTGAGCATTCTTTGATGCATATATTTACTCTCTGAATAATTAGAAAGCAATTAATTCAGTAACTTAAACTTGAAATAGGTTAAGTTTTGTTTTTCCTCAGATATCTTAATTTTATCATTAGGAAGATTTGTCCGTCAAAAATCAGGTGAACTTTGGTAGTTTTTGATGCCTAACATTTAAGTTGAATATTTAGATTTGTAAGGTAAGGTTTTCTTATATCTTATAAATCTAATCTAAATCTATAAATCTAAGATTTAGATTTAAATCTAAATGTTAAGTTGAATATTTAGATTTATAAGAATAAGGTTCTCGTGTTTGCGAAGGATGCCTAAACATTTAAATTCTAAGTCACTGAAATTGGAATAAAGTTAAATAATGGGTTTGTAATGCTAGCAAATCTAACCAACAGTTTAGTCTTCTTAAAGACACTTCATTGAGCTTATACAAACACTTCTACAGGAGGTTTTTTTGCTGAAGTTTTTTGGCCTTACCCATGAGTGAATATTTTTCCATTTAAAATACCAACAGTTGAAGTTAGTAGAATTTGAATTAATGAGTACAATGAATATCACCGTGTCCTTACCAGATCAGAAATTTTCTTAAATCTCTTACTATTAAGTACTTATACTAAATTTTATTACAAATTTTAATAATTATGGTGTCGCCCTGGCTGGTGTAGCTCAGTGGATTGCGGGCCTTCGCTTTCGTTGTAGACTTGGGTTGCAGGCAGGTCCCGCGTCATTGATGTTTCTCTCCCTCTCTCCTTCCCTTCCCCTCTAAAGATAAATAAATAAAATCTTAAAAAAAAAAATTACGGTGTCAATTGAGTCTAACATTTCTTAGTTCTCTACCAAGAAAATTTTGTTACAGTTTTTAAAACATATTTTATTTATTTATTTATGTTTAGAGGGGAAGGAAAGGAGAGAGAGGGAGAGAAATATCAATGTATGGTTGCCTCTCTTGTGTCTCCTGCTGGAACTGGTCTGCAACCCAGGCATGTGCCCTGATTGGGAATTGAACCTTGATCCTTTGGTTCGCAGGCCTGCGCTCAATCCACTGAGCTACACCAGCCAGGGCCCTGTTACAGTTTTTAAAATTTCAAATCGAAATAATCAAGTATTTCACACTGTTTGAGTGGAAAAAGGGAAAATTTGAAGTATTCAGTTTAAAATTTTAAATTTGGAGGGTTTTTGCCTGTCAGAGAATCTTTTTGTTTGGTGTTATTTGCCCTTTAGTTTCTTTAATAATATATGAAATTATGTAAGTACATAAACACATGAAATAAAAGAAGTATGTAGATGAAAAGGCAACAAAGTCCCTTTTTATCCTGTAGATTGTTTTCTTCTTACTGGAGATAAAACCACTTTTAATGGTTTGGTGTATATTGTATTTTTACCTTTATTATAGTTACATTTTTAATATATGTAATATATATAAACATGTAGTTTTTAAGTGTTTATCTTTTAACAGACTAGTTTTTAATACATTACTGATTTATTAAATTTTTCACTTTATGACTTTTGCTACTTAACTGTATATTTTGAAAATTGTTCCATGTTAATGCATATAAGCCTACCTTGTTCTTAACTGCTGCAATAATTTTCTTACAAAGGGTGCTCCAAAACTACTTAATCATTTCTCTTTTCAACATTTAGATTATTTTTAATATTTATTATTAGGTATAGTTTTTATTATTATTTTTTAATATATTTTTTATTTTATTGATTATGCCATTACAGTTGTTCTGTTTCCCCCCTTCATTCCTCTCCACCCTGCACACCCCTCCCCCACCTTCCCCCCTTTAGTTCATGAACACGTCTCGAGTTCTTTAGATTCTTTATTTCCCCTATTATTCTTACCCTCCCCCCTATTTATTTTCTATCTACTGTCTATGCTACTTATTTTCTGTACCTTCTCCCCCCTTCTCCTCCTCCCACTCCCCTGTTGCTAACCTTCCACGTGATCTTCATTTCTATGGTTCACTCCTGATCTAGCTATCCTCTTAGTTTGCTTTTGTTTTAGGTGTGGTTGTTAATAACTGTGAGTTTGCTGTCCTTTCACTGTTCATTTTTTTTATCTTCTTTTTCTTAGATAAGTCCCTTTAACATTTCATCTAATAAGGACTTGGTGATGATGAACTCCTTGAATTTGATCTTGTCTGAGAAGCACTTTATCTGTCCTTCCATTCTAAGTGAAAGCTTTGCTGGATAGAGCAATCTTGGTTGTAGGTCTTTGGATTTCATGACTTGGAATACCTCTTTCCAGCCCCTTCTTGCCTGTAGGGTCTCTTTTGAGAAATCCACTGACAGTATGATGGGAACTCCTTTGTAGGTGACTGTCCCCTTATCTCTTGCTGCTTCTAGGATTCTCTCCTTCATTTTAATCTTGGCTAGTGTAATTATGATGTGCCTTGGTGTGTTCCTGGTTGGGTCCACCTTCTTTGGTACTCTCTGAGCTTCCTGGATTTTCCGGAAATCTATTTCCTTTGCCAGATTGGGGAAATTCTCTTTCATTATTTGTTCAAATAAGTTTTCCACTGGTGGCTGTTCCTTTCCCCCTTCTGGTACCCCTATAATTCGGATGTTGGAGCGTTTAAAGATGTCCTGGAGGTTCCTAAGACTCTCCTCATTTTTTTGAATTCTTGCTTCTTCACTCTTTTCTGTTTGGCCATTATTTGCTTTCTTCTGGTCCACTCCTTTGATTCGAGTCCCAGTTTCCTTTTCATCGCTATTGGTTTCCTGTGCAATTCCATTCATTTCAATTAGTTTTGCCTTCATATGTTTCTCTAATTTGTGGCTATAATCAACCAGATCTGTGAGCATCCTGATCACCAGTGTTTTAAACTGTGTGTCTGAGAGTTTTGCTGTTTCTTTTTTTTTAAATTAATTTTATTTAGTTATTTTATGTTTCTTCATCGCTTAGATTTATAGGCTCTGGGACTTTGAGATCTTCTTGAGCCATTTTTGGTCTGTTCAGGCCTGTTAAGTATGAGGAGCGGAGCCTTGGACTCCCATGTCACTGGGTTGTGATGCTGAATGTGGGGGCGTGGTCAGAGCAGGGAAATGGTGACCCCCTCTGCTGGTTTGCGCCGCTGGGTGAGGAGCAGAGTCTTAGGTGGTTCACCAGGGCAGGGCTACTCAGGTCACTGGGTTATGACGCTGTATGTAGAGGCGGGGTCAGAGCGGGGAAATGGCGGCGCCCTCTGCTGCCGCTTGCTGCTGGGACCTGTCTCACCCCCCACTCCCTCACTGGTCTATCTGCGCGCAAATGCGCAACCACTGTTCCCTCGCTGGTTCCCCGCGGTCGCTCGCTAGGTTGCTCACTAGGTCCACCCCTTGCAACCCTGTGCCTGGGTTCCACGTACCTGAGTCCGTCTGACTGAGTTTTCCTGTGCAACCCCGCTCCGCCAGCTGCTGGTTTCATCCCTCTTACCGGTCAGTCTGAAGAATTTGTTGTTATCAGACTCCTGAAAGGTTCAATTTTCTGTGTTCTGGTTGTGTTTTCTGTTGCTAATATTTAGTTGAGTCTAAACTTGGTTGTGTGAGAAAACAAGGTGTCTCCACCTATGCCTCCATCTTGGTGGAAGTCAAATTTTCACTTTTTTTAAGTGGAAAATATTACTTCATTATTTAATTTGTGTTTTATTGCTAATGAAACTGAACATTTTTCATGTTCAATAGACATTTACATTTCTACCTCTATTAATGAATTACCTTTTTATATATGTTGTCCAAATTTCTACTATTTATTTTTGTTTACTTATGTGAGTTTTTAATGTAGTATGAACATTATAATGGATTTATATATGTTGTAATATGTCTCAGGGTTACTTATCTTTTAATGTTTTTTTGTATTGATTTTTAATATCCTTTACCAAATTACCAAATGGTCAGAGTTCTATATCAAGTTGTTTTTTTTTTTTTTTGGTTACAAACAACAGAAACTTACACTGGTTAACACAAACCTAGTGTTAGATTCAGGCAAGTTGAAAAAACAACATATAGGGTGGAGCAAACATAGATTTATAGTTGTTTGTATGGAAAATATTATAATAAACAATCGTACACGAATAAACTGTTTTGTATACTCACAACCGTAAACTTTCCTTTGCCCTGCCCTCCATGGGGGAGTACAGTTGAGTTTCCTCCATGTCTTTTCATAGCTTGATGGCTCATTTCTTTTTAACATTGAATAATATTTTATTGTTTGAATGTATCACAGTTTATTCATTCACCTACTGAACCACGTCTTGGTTGCTTCTAAGTTTTGGCCATTATGAATAAAGCTGTTATAAATATTCATGTGCAACTATTTGTGTTCATAATGCATTTTCAACTCCTTTGGGTAAATCCTAAAGGATATGATTAGTGGATCATGTGGTATGTATAGTTTTTTAAGAAATCACCAGACTGTTGTCTATTGATTTCCTGTTTTAATTTCATTGATTTCTGTTCTAATTAATATTATTTCTTTTCCTTTGTTTGCTTTGATTTAATTTACTCTTCATTTTCTAGTTTCCTAAGGTGGAAGCTTAGATTATTGATTTTATTATCTTTTTTCTGATATTCAATGCTATACATTTCCCTTTAAGACTGCTTTTGCTGCATCCTACAAGTTCTAATAAGTTGAAAATTTCAATTCATTTTCATTTGGTTCAAAGTTTTAAAAATTTCTCTTGCCATTTCTTCTTTGACACTTTTATTCAAAAGTATGTTGTTTAACCTCTAAGTACTTTGGAATTTTTCAGCTTTCTGTTTGATTTCTAGTTTAATTTTTTGTGGTCTGAGCACAGACATTGTATAATTTTAATTTTTAGAAATTTGTTAAGATGTGTA